AAAAAAAAATGTTATCCCAGTACAGTGTATTGTACTGAAAAAAATTAATTCAGTAGTGAAAGCGTTAAGCGATATTGCAAACAGAATTTAATTGTGGTAAATTTATTATTGTTCACCTAACAGCTTGGAAATTCAGACGACCATCAGCAAGACTTGGCGTGAATTCATTTGCGGAATGCTCAATCAACAATTTCGAAATGACACGGGAGATCCGTTAATCTGCGATGGTTTTCAGCAAGGCATAATTAGTCACACATATCGGACTGCAAAGCAGGCTGCCGAAACCGGAAGTGCCGAACAAGTGCGTTTCTTGGCAATCGACCACCACAGAGAATGGATTGACCACGTGATCACGGCCAATAATCAATTAGGCACCGGCGATGGCTGCCCGAACGCATCCCCCCGACTCGTGGTCATCCTGGTGTTGATGACTGCCTTGTTCCAATTATCGACACAGTTTAGATAGGTAATGTATTCGTACAATAAAAAAGAATACTATGCATAGCTGAAGGACAGAAATGCTGATAATGTGTAACATTGTTGAATTAACCGCAGGCTATTCACTAATYTTGTTTTACAAAACTGTGACTTGAAGTGGCACTAATGCAATAGTAATTCTTCCCGCACCCCTCCCATAATTTATTGATAACAGACGAGTGATTTATACAGATATATTAACTTATTATAACAATGCAGTCTGAAGGACTTTCTAATTTGTCTTCGAGACACAACACAGCTTAATTCTAAAGGTTGGTTTTGTTGGCGTCATCGCTCAACGTTCTTTTTCGTCAATATATGGCAATTCTTAAAAATTATTGGACATYCGTGTTCACTGATTCTAAACTGGTCGCGAGTCGCATTCACGCCAAACGTACCCTTCGAAAATTGTGTGATATGCGTCATTTATCTAGTAGATTAGCTCGCTGGTGACTCGATAAGGTCAAATTTGTGTAGGTACGCAGAAAAACAGCCATGTCCAGATAATGCTTGGATGAGGTGATAGGTTATAGTTTCGTGTTGTCTGTTTAATCATCGACCAAAAATCTTCCTAAGTAGTCGATGAGTCTTTGTAKGCTATTTTCCCATATTTTCTGACAAGATCTTGACGTTAATATACATATAACCTAATTAATCAGTTTTGATTAAAAACAAGTCATTGAAAGAACTATATTGTATGGCATAAGTAATAATTTCAAACTTATACCTTATACAATTAAAGCTGTCTAGTTCGAGCTCTGAATAAAACGGAAAACTATTCAATCGTATCCAAAGATATTCAAAAGAAATTTAATTTGTAACAATATTAATTTTTCATAAATTTAAAAATATTTAAAATTGTAATAAAAAATTGCTTTCATTATATTATTGTTATCAAATGCATAAAACAACTTTATTCCTTAGATAATAAAGAGTTTAATAATAAATAATAATAATWAATTTAATTTCAACGACAAAAATTCAATTTGTTAAGGGGCTGTCACACGAGGCGACTATACTCGTTACGACTACGTACCAGCGAGTAAAGTCGCTCCATCCATCTGACAACGTATTCGCTACGAGTACCCAAGTCGTAGCTATATGAATAGTCGCGGCGAATGGAATAGAGCATATATTGTTCAATTCTACTCGCTAGAAACGCGCGACTATGCTGGTCACGTGACCCACTCGCAACTCAAAATCGCAGAGTCGCCCCGTGTGACATTCATGTACTCGCTGGTCGCTACTAGCTAGTATCATTATTATCATTATTATCATTATTGTTTATCAATACTAATTATATTATCAATCTTATAAGATTATTATTGTTACGACGTGATACGATTGACGACATTTTTGCGACTGACTACTCGCTACTCGCTATCTCGTACAACTTCGTGTGTGACAACCTACTCGCGGCGACTTGATGWGGCGAGAAGTCGCTGCTACTAGTCGCGGCGAATAAAATCGCCACGTGTGACAGCCCCTATTACAGCTTCTATTGTCTCTTATGTCACARATCTCGGAAATATTGAATCAAACATGGCCATAAAACTTAGACATAAATACATAATCCTTGACTATATCAACTTTCTGCTGCTACTATGATAGCATCCATCATGATAATTAGAAATTAAATTAAATTAAATTAAATTAAATTAAATTAATTTAAAAAAACTTAATCCAATTAAAGTTTTCTGTCTTTAAATGTTTATAGGTAGGTACCTAAAATACCGTAATAAGAACATTTGGTGTTTCTACTATCATAACTGAATCTCATAGAACAAAACACATTGCACATCTCAGCGAGTGACAAATAAACATAGTGCAACATTGCAAAAATGTTGTTGGAAAAAAATTGTTCAGGAAACGGTATGTTATGCAAAACATAATGTGGAAGCCTAACCGTTTAAAAAGTTTTCATTTTTAATTGTTTTAATCCTTTTTTTATTCTCTAACGCTCATATAAATGTATCATCCGACTACTGTCGTTTAAGTTTAAACCGTTTCGACATAGACCGTAAAATGTAGGTACTTTATGTTTGACTCAAYGACAGAAATCAATTCTAATTAAACTATTTTAGTAAACCAAAATCGAACAAAAAAATTAAAACAAAATATACGTCACAATATACGTTTTTAATAAAATTTAAAAAAATTATTAAACATTTATGTTGTGGCGTATACTTTGTTTTATTTTTTTTGTTCGATTTTGGTTTACTAAAATAGTTTATGAATCGATTTATGTCGTTGGGTCAAACATAAAGTAACTAAATTCTACGGTCTATGTCGAAACGGTTTAAATTTAAACGACAGTAGTCGGATGATATATTTATCCGACGMTCTTAACATTTAATGAGCATTGAAATAAATATGTAATTCTTTTGCAAAATAATGTATCTGATTAAACGTAAAAATAAAAAAATAAATTGTTTTCATAATTGCACATTACTTTTTTTCTCTATTAGGTTTTCCATTGTTTTGATATTATATGACGTGTCCTTTTATCTCATCTCTTCTCGATTTAATATTTTTCCATAAACGCAGTTTCTCTTTTATCTTATCCAGTAACTCTTCGATCGATCATTTCTCGGTCATATTTGATCGTGATAAAAATCATCTGGTACAAAATTTAACCTGACATTTTTCAACGCAATTATAATAATATGTTGTTTCACATTTKACGAATTTTATCGCATATTTTGATATCTAATTTTTTTTACGAAACCTAAAACTTTTTTTTCTGCGTTCGATCCTCACATATTTTTCAGTTCATATAACTATAATTTTATGAATATCTCGTCGCCGGCCGCCCCT